GTCCGTCCATCCATCCATCCGTTATGTGTAGTAGATATAATTCGCGCCGTCTCTAGTATTATATATGTTATACTGGTGCATGTTGAAACCCGATTTACCCGATTTACAGGTAAAAGGATGTGGCTCAGCAGGGAGATGGGCCATGTGTGGAGAGATACGGGGATGCCCAGGCGCTGATCATCGCATAAACGACCAGAGATGCATATAGTGGAAATCCTGAGGCAGATCCATATCAATGCAGCGTTCCCATAAATTTCATCAAGGGGATTCACCAACTCCGGACACTGAATTGTTCTTCCTCATCACCAAAAATGAAAATCTTATTAACCTATGGACTCTGAATGGAAGAAAAGACTGACTGCCGAAATCTTGGCCTCAGGCAGAATTTTCCCTACAAAAACCGCTTGTGCCAGGATGGAGGTGTGTGGGCATAGAGGAAAACCTCTGCTGAGGCTGGCCTCTTTGTTGCACACCCAGCGCCGACCCCGGGGTCGGCACTGTTCTTTCCTTATGGCTAGATAGAATTTGATTGCAAAATGAATATTTTAATTATTTTTATTTTAATTTGGCTGGACAAATTTTCATTTATAACACAGCCGTCCGCGCTCTGACCCCGCCGCCGCCGCCCCTCAGGGCCGGGCGGGCCCGCGCTGCGGACGGATCCCGCGCGGGGCACGGCGGCCCCGACGCCGCCGCACCTGATTGGCTGCGGCGCGCCTGGCCCCACATCAGCCCAGAGCCCGCGCTCCTCGCGGCTGGCCCGGCGGGGGAAGAGCCGGCGCCAGCACCGACCAATCGGCGCAGAGGTTTCTTAAGCCCCTCTGCCTGCCGACCAATGAGCGGCCGGATCAGCGGGAGGTGTGCCCAATCGGAGGAGCGCTCTCATGGCGCTGGGCGGTTGGGGCCGGGGTCGCTGCGCGGCTCCCCTCAGCGCTGAGGCGATGCCGGAATTGCCCGTTTTAGGATAAAAAACTCAGTCCCTGAATCAATTGGGCTGGGAAAGACGTCTGAGGTCATCGATTCCAACCTCTGACTCAACACCACCCTGTCAATCACACCACGGCAGCCTCGTGCAACCTTTCCTGAACCCCTCCGGGGCCGCTCATTCCCCCACCTTCCCCAGCCGCTGTTCCAATGTCTCAAACATCCTTTCTGCCAAGTGTTTCCTCCTAAAAGCAGCAGCAAAAACGCCGCTTTCTCCTACCCAAAGCAAATGAGCAGCTAAATCACCTGGAAAGGGACACAAAAATCCTCTCGCTGAGCTGAAAAAGGTGTCATTTAGAAAGGACTGACCCAGTTACAGCTCAGGGAGGAAGGGGGATGATGGATTTGCTGTTAAAACTGGGCTTTTAGGAAAAATATCTAAAGATTTTGAATTTTTTTTTTTTTTTTAAGTCCTGCATACAGAACATCAGCCAGCTGGTTAATGAGTCTGGATAAGAATAAGAAATTCCTGGCTCATTTGATGTTCATGATCTCTGCAAGCTCTATATGGTGTCAGGAGTACAAGTAACCAGAATCAAAATCAAAGCTGAAAATTGTGTAATTTAGAAAGGACTGACCCGGTTACAGCTCGGGCAGGAAGGGGGATGATGGATTTGCTCTTAAAACTGGGCTTTTAGGAAAGACTGATAGCACTTTTTCCCTTATTAGCAGCAGTTTTACTATCATGTCCTTCAAATGGGATTATGCATCCATGTTCCCTGCCTTCATTCCAGTTTTCCCTTATCCACACCAGTTTTTCCCTCTTTCGAAAGTGATTTTTAAAAAATCATGTAAAAGAAGGAAAATTAAACAAACCTATAATGAGAAAATGGGCATTAACAGGACTGCAGTGACCATTGCAATTAGTTTGGAGACTAGATTAGGATAGCCAGAGGAAAATAGCCTCAATAAGATTAACTGGAATTGTCCATTTCCAAATCTTTTTAAGCCTTGCCTTATGCCTTCTAATAGTAATAAAAGGGTAGAAATGAAATCGTGTTTTCAGATTAGATTAGGGGCTGTTCAAAAGATGCTTCAGAGCTGGTGGGCAGCAATAATGCTGCTGATGGCACTACCCTGCTGTGGGCTTGGAGGTAACCTGGAGTCACCTGCAAGACTAAACTGACTGATGAAATGCCAGAATCTATCAGATAAAAGTTTTGTAATAATACTTCAGGGCAATCTCTGCAATATGCCAAGGCCTGACCATGATCCCTTGAACCAACTGGATTAAGATATCTAAAGATTTTTTTTTTTTTTTTAAATCCTGCATACAGAGCATCAGCCAGCTGGTTAATGAGTCTGGATAAGAATAAGAAATTCCTGGCTCATTTGATGTTCATGATCTCTGCAAGCTCTATATGGTGTCAGAAGTACAAGTAACCAGAATCAAAATCAAAGGTGTTTGGAGAAAGGGAAAGATAAATAAAAGGGAAAGGGAAAGGGAAAAGGAAAAGGGAAAAGGAAAAAGGAAAATGAAAAAGGAAAAGGGGAAAACGGAAAAAGGAAAAGGGAAAAAGGAAAAGGGAAAAAAAGAAAAGAAACATTGACACATTGCAAGAAAAACCTCATGGAGAGGACATTAAGGAAAAAAGGCCTAAAATGACAAATGGTCATAAAGAGATCAGCTATGACAGGTTGAGGCTGTGAAATGAAGCAAAGACAGAAATAGAAGGGTCAGTGAGGTTAAGAACAGCTGGCTTTCTTTAAGGCCACACTTTTTTGAGTATAATGATGAAAAATAAAAAGAGATCTGCTAAAACTCATACCCATAGAAGGCCCCAATTTTTTCTAAACACTACTCAAATTGTTGTTAAATCCCTTTCTCTTGAGTAAGACAACTAACCACATTTTTTAGTGCAGATGAAGAAATAGAGAAGCACACTCATGTCTCCTCTGTACAGTGAGACCCTCACCAGAGGGCCTTTCTAGAAACCTTCCAGCTCTCCTCATTAAGAAGTTGAGTGTGGCTGAGATTTGTGTTTCATGCCATGATGCAATGGATTATTTGAGCAGACACTGTTTGGTTTATTTAAAAGAGCAGGGTGAAATACCATGTAATTTCATAAGAGCTGGGTATTTGGAGAGATAAACACACCTGAAATGGCCTCGTTGAGACAGGTCAGGATATCAATGAAATACCAGGAAATTTCCCAAATTGTCCTGACCTCATGCAAAGGGCAGCCACTACCACAGGCCTCTGGAACTCTGTGAAGAACAGATGGGAAGAAACAACAGACACTTTGGAGAAAGGATTTTGAGGGGATTCCACCATGGACATTCACACAGAGAAATAGGAATGTTCCCAAATTTGCACAAATAACCCGTTGAACCATAAGCAGCACAAGGGAAGGCTATGCCAACTTGAAGCAAATCAAAGTATTATACCAGGCACAGAAAGCAACACTCATGACAGCTAATTATCATCAGGTTTTTTTTGTATCATGAGACTCTTAACATGCAAGAAATGCCCCAGAAGCTGACATTTAGTGTGTGCTCAGAGCACAATGTGGAATTGAGGGCAGATAACCAGAAACCTCATAAGAACCTCCAAAATACCTCCAAAAATCAGCTACCAACCTGTTCTGGAAGAGCATGAGGCTTCAGACTGTACACAGGTATCAACAGATCAGCAAAACTTAAATGAAAGCAGCCTTTATTAATATATAAGGCATCTATATCCTGCTGAAATCGAATCCTAAGTACCTTCCTGGATGTGGGCCCATTACTTTCCAGGGCCAAATAGAAAACAATGCTGAGATGTCTGGGCTGTTCTGCTAAATGTGAAAATAAGCGCTTTGGCCAGAATAAAACTGGGGAAAAGGCCAGAGCAGAGATGTCTATATTCTAAATGTCTACTCAGCTACCAGTCCTAGGCTGAGCCACACGGCTTAAACATCAAGAACATGGAGTATAAAATCAGCTGCCACAGTCTCTCCTCCTAAGAGACGCTCCAAACTCCAAATCATCTTTGTGGCCTCTGCTGGACCCTGTCCAGCAGCTCCTTATCTCTCCCGCACTCAGCAGCCCCGAGCTGGGCATGATGCCTTGAGAAGGCTGATCTAGAACAGAGACTAGACGGAGTTACAGAACAAAGCAGGGATTTATTAAAAGGATCTCCTCCATGGATCCACCTTGGGCAGCACAACTGCACCCAAAAATGGTCATAAAAAAGACGACTGGTGGGTCAGGGGGAGTTTCACACTTTTATAAGTTCTGCTCCATTTGCAACCTTGGGCAGCACAAGACCCCACCAGGGCTACACCCAAAAATGGTCACAATAAAGACGAGTGGTCAGAGGGGGTCTCACACTTTTGTAAATTCTGCTCCATTTGCGTGTTGGAGTTAATCATCCAGTTGCAGCGTGTTGCCTTCAGGGGAAGGCAAGGTGACCTTGTTGCAATCGGGCCAACAACACACGCTAATACCAATGTGGTGGACGGTCGAAAGGCCTTTATTATCCCATCTCATGGGTTTAAATAGTCTTGGGGGACTTTGCTACGTCAGGGGGGGTTAGTAGGGTCTCTAGGGTTAGTAAGGAGTGGAAAACTACTGGGTTAGGTGTGGTTACGTGTTGCAGGGTGAGGGGGGAAGAGTTTTTCTTTCCATCACATCTCGAAATCTTCCGTTCGCCTGTCCCTGTCTATTACAGTAGCGTTAGCTCATGAAGTCCCATCCTTCTCGTTTTTCTCTCTTCAGTCCATGTTGCTTATGCTCTTGGGGCTGAGATTTGGATCATTTATCGTTGCTAGCTAGAGAAGGAATTGCTTTATCTGCAGAACAGAGCTTACAAACACGAAGCTCAGAACTTCAAAGCAGCACAGAACCTGAAGACGAGCAGCGCTGCACCCCGACGCCCAGGCACAGCGCTGCGGACGCGGCTCGACCAGCGGAGCAGAGCCCCGTCCCGCGTTTCCCGGGGCCCCGTCTCCCGTCACTTCCTCGCCGCGCCGCCTCCCGGACCCGCCCGCGCGGGGCCGCTGCGGCCGGCGGGCGGCGCTGCTGCGGCGGGGGGCGGCCATGGCGGCGGCGCGGCGGGTGCAGCTCCGAGCGCTGCTGCTGCTGCTGCTGCTGCTGCTGCTGCTGGGCGCGGCGGGGCCCGGCGCCCGGGCGGCGCGGAGCCGCGGGGCCGACCGCCAGAACAGCCTGCGCCGCGCCGCCAGCGGCCTCTACCAGGGCGTCAGCGGCCTCTTCGGCGAGGACAACGTGCGGGCCCTGCAGAAGGTGAGCTTGCTGCTCGCCTCTCTCCTCCCCGGCCGGCTTGGCGAGCGTCTCCTCCCTCCCCAGCGCTGCTGCGGCGCTGGAGCGGCCGCGGCCTCGTCCCGGCGCGCAGCGCTGCTGCGGGCAGGGAAGCGGGAGGCCAGGCGTGCAGCAAACGGGGGGAAATTGCGGCTAAACGCTGAAGTGTAGGTGGTGCGAGTGGGGAGACGCGCAGGGCCGCCCGCTGGCCGGCTGAAATCCCGGCTGTCTGCAGCATCCTGTGCTGGGGGCATCGGAGCTCGCAGGGAGGCAGGCGAGGGAGGCCAGGCGTGCAGCGAGCTGCGGGGAAATAGCGGCTAAACGCTCGAATGTAGGGGGTGTGAGGTGGGGAGACGGGCAGGCCGGCTGAAATCCCGGCTGTCTGCAGCATCCTGTGCTCGTGGGGCATGGGAGCCGTGCGTTCCTCCGTGCCTGCTTTCCTCAGGCAGCAATAAATGCTGTTGGATTGACCTCTGAGTACACCTGAGACTGCTGGGGACATCTCTCAGTTGCTCGATAAAACTAATTCTTTGGTTTGCTTTACTAGTTGTTGGTCATAGTGTTTTCTCTAATCTTCAAAACGATAGTAAAGCCAATAAAGTGCATTTTTAAATCTTGCCAACGTATACATTTACATTCCAAAATACCTACAGTAATGATAATTGCAGCGCATAAATTCATGATTCATGGAGCTAAAAAAATTTCAGATTTACCATTTTTACTGTGGGGACTACGAAATAATCTGCAATTCTTGCTTAATTAATTATAATTCTACTCATGGCAAATAAGTCTCAAAGTATTATTTAGGAATTGAGGATTTTTTTAATTTTCAATTTTATTTCTCAGTTTTTCTCAAGGTTGACAGAGAGGTTTGTGAATGGGGTGGATGTATTAATGGACACATTCTGGAGAATATGGACTGATTTGTTAGATGTTCTTGGAATTGATGGTAAGTGTGATGCCTGTTCACCCTTGAACTGTCTCAGCCTGTATCAGTGTTTACAAGCGAATGGGAAAACAGTTACATTTTATCATGCTGCTTAAACATCCATCAGTGGTGTCTCTGCTTCACATGGCTTTGATTTTCCTATTAGTATCTTCAAACAAGAAGACTGAACCCCACCATTCCATTTCTGTATGTGTATCTACAGGATGTGTAGAGAATGAATTACCAGTCACGGCTGGTTCCTTGGTGTCATCATTAAATGGATTCACACAGCCAGGAACAGTGCAGGGAAATCAATGAGGACCAGAGAAAAGAAAAATGCAGTTGAGAGCCTTTAGAATGTAGCTTTGACAAAGCAGGATCTGCAGCCCCAGTATGAATTTTGACCTCAGGCTCTACAGTGGTTTGTCTTTAAAGAGCCTTTAGCGCCTTTGCTGGATTGAATTCAGTTGAATCGCTGGAGCTGAGCCAGTGGTTTGAAGAAGGTTCATCCAGAAGTAGGTGAACCAGCTTTACCCTTTACTTTAGAAAACACAGCCGTGACCCCACTGCTGTGGGGATTTGACCCTTTGGAGCTGTGCTCATGTGTTTGCCCCGTGCCACCTTCGGCCCACGCTCATTAACACCCTGCACATTTCCCTTTGTTTTTCAGCCTCCAACCTGACTCATTATTTCAGCCCAGCAGCGATTGCCAACAACCCGACCCGCGCCCTCCTGCTGATCGGTGCCATTTTACTGGCCTACTGGTTTTTATCTCTTTTCCTTGGATTCTTCTTCTATCTGCTGCACATGCTGTTTGGCCGCTTCTTCTGGATCGCCAGGGTGGCTCTGTTCACCCTGTCCTGTGTGTACATCCTGCAGAAGTACGAGGGCGACCCGGAGCACGCCGTGCTGCCCCTCTGCTTCGTCGTGGCCGTCTACTTCATGACGGGGCCGGTTGGGTTTTACTGGAGAAGAAACAGCAACAGCAGCCTGGAGGAGAAGATGGATCACCTGGATAGTCAGATCAGACTGCTGAACATCCGCCTTTCCAGGGTGATCGAGAACCTGGACAGGGGCAGCGAGCAGTGAACCTGCCCCTGCTGACCACTCTGCACCAGCTCTGGAAAAATCCTAAGCACTGTCTCATCCGAAGTTACAAAGCAACAAAACATCACATGGTAAAAAGTGTGCGAAGTTATAACTTTTCATCGTGTCTAAGACTTAATTTATCTAGGTTAAACACTCAGCCGTTAGACTTCTAGGAGAAAGAAAAAAACATTTACAAAATTCAGCTGTATATTCAGAGTTTTATCCAGTACTAGAATTTTCTCAGTAGATAAACGCTTACTTTTACAAGCATTTAAAAACATCTTTTGTAAAGTTTTTATAAAAGCAAATTGAGTAGTCTTTCAGATATTGAAATTGAGTTAAACATATGCAAATTTGACACTAACAGTTAAAAAGAAAAAAAAAAAATCTCAAGCTACCAAGCACTTCCATTGAGAAGTAACTGCTGTGGGTCCATATTTTTTCTTCAGAGTTGTGAATGTTTTTGTGTTTTTGTTGGCTTATTCCATTGCCTTGAAGTTGCCTTTCATAGAGTATCAGATGAGGAATTTTCTGGTATCCAGGCCAAAAAATTCACACCATAGCTTTTAACAGGAGGTGGGGAATGAGGGAGAAGGAAGATCTGAAGTCCTTAAATGCCAGTCCAATGTGAGGAAGCACACGTGTGGCATTTTATCATCGCGTTTCATCCCGAGAACTTTAATTTGTTAGTGTCTGGAAGGAAATCTGCTTTAATAAATTGGCACAGAAGGAAGATGTAGCGTGACAAATTGTAATTCATATTCAATCTGCACAGTGAAGCATTTTCCAAGCTTAAGTACATAGACTAAAACATGGTTTTTAATCTCAGGACCCATGACCCTTCTCAGAAAAGGCAGCAGATAAAACACGTGCAGATGTATTGTTGCTTAAAGCTTTCTCAGGACCAATCAGCGGCAATAAATTACCTTCAGGAAGATCTGGATTTTTTTCTAAAATTACAATAGTTTTCTAGGAGCTTTTTGCTTGAAGTCTATGTCCTCATTAGGTTTTGGGAAAAGCGAGTCACCTTTCAGAGGAAGGTGTAGGAAATGGTTCTCTTTCAAAGCCGAGGAGCTTTGGAGCGATTTTATTTTGCAGGATTTCTGTATTTCTTAGAGCTAACGAGCTTGGTAGGGCATCACTGGCTGTGCTGGTTTACTGAAACAAAGGTAACCTCAGGGAGGGAAGTCTGGGATGTGGTTTCACCTGGAAACATCAGCACCCAAGCACACAGAGGTGAGGAGGGAAGGGAAGCACCTACCCCTAGTGATGAGCACAGTTCTGATAGCACGAGGGGTAGGATGGAGCACAGCTCCATATTCCATAGGGTCCAAACGAACAACTACATCAAAAAATGCAACAAAAATTGGTCTGGGATGGGGCCTGGCTACCAAGGAAGGGAATGAGGAGGAGGAGGAGGTTCCCCAGGTGTGCCTGCCAGTGCCAGCTCTGGTGGGACAGGCTGGAGCAGCTTGAGCACAGCTTGTTCTTCCACTGGGCAAAGCTGGATGTGATGCTTAACTGAATGTAACTGTGGGGTGAATTTATTTTTCTCTTGATGCTGAAGTTTAATGTTCTTGAAATATGTGTATTACTTGCCTAACCTCTTTGGGTCTGTGTGTGGCATTTCCATGGGGGTTATTTTTAAATCCATGTTAATGGCCTTTACTCCTGGTGATCACTTTGGTTCAACACGGTTGAAGTTCATATGCACTTGGCACGGTTGGAATGTGGTTTAATTTTTTATGTCACCTGTAAATCCCCCTGCACCCCATTTATTAACAAGTCCATGGTTTAGAGTTGTTAAATAACTGGTTGTCACAACTTAAAATCTTTCCTGTGATCAAATAGGGACTATGGCAACAAATAGTCCCTTTTATCAAGCTGAAAATGTAAATTACAGTAAATTCCTTTTTTCAGCTCATTTTCCATAGTATTACAGAGTCTTCTCTGTAGACTCAGTTCTCCCTACTGTTGTGCACAGAGGGCTGGGCTGAAACGCCAGCCTGGAAATTAGGAATTGACTAGTAAAGCTTGTCAGGTCTTGATGTGTTTTGCCAAATTCGAGACCTGAGGACCAAAGTTTGCAAACCTTGCTCATGTCAGTGGCTCCATCACCTCCTTAGGACAATGTGCATGGGTCAGTTTGCATAGATTGTATTTTGTGTAATCCATATTTAACGTTAAAGTTGAAAATACTGAACATTTATATATTAAGAGTTGTCTATGATAAAGATTTCTTTGAAAGTATTATATAAATGTTAATTTGGATTACAGTTTCTCCCTGTCTCACTCTAATAATTTATCTTAGTTTTGTAAAATCAGCCCTCCTATATTGATACTCTTTATTTCAATCACCCTGCTGCTTGAAAAATGATATTTTTATAATTACTTGCATCCCATGTATAGCAAAATGTTATGTGAAAAGCAGTATATATAAAATTGGGTATTTTTAATCAGTATTTTTCCCAGCACTCAGTTTTCACGTTAGTCAAATTCAGAAGTAATGATTTTTTTAAAGCACAATCTAATCTTCAATATATACATATATATATATATATATATATATATATAAATACATACTTTAAAAATGCTCTGTATTTTTAAACATGCACTGTAGTGAAAGCGCTTTGGGGACATGAACGTGATATTGTATTTAATCTCTTTCAACTTTTGTAAATACCTTTTACAAGTGTTTTCCATACTGGGCCATCTAGTTAATCCATGGAGGATTCTGCTGTTTTTTAGAAACCCGTGCCAGTGGCTGCACTGCTTTTGTATCCCATAGAGCATCTCAGAGACAG